TTGGTGACAGCTCCAAAAGGCCCAAACATTTGCCACAGGATACTCTCGTCTGCGTCAGGAGCCAGGTTGTACACAAATATACACCACCCTGTTCCAGGGTGCCCAGGGATATTAATTCCAGCCAAACTGGTCATTCCATCAATGGTCATTGGAGAAAACCTACTATGCTGTGTCTGCTGCGCTCGCGGTCCTTGATACCTTCTGTTTGGGGTGTGGTTCTTCTTTTTCCGTTTTGCCTGCTTTGTTTTTTTGGTTGTTTTCTTCGCCAACTTTTCAGTGCTTGTCTTTGTTGTTTCAGGTGGTTTCTGTGTGTTTTTGCGTTTGCTTGCTTGTTTTGTGTGGTGTTGCTTTTTGAATTGGCTATTCCTTGCTGTCCTTGATGTTCTCGTTGCTTGGTCAGCAATATTTTTTGAAGTGATTCTGTGTCTTTATTGTGATTGGCGCTGTTGTAGCTGGTTCTGGGTCCTTGTTTTTGGACGTGCTATAACGTCGCAACGCAATATGAAACAAATAATGGGGTTTTAAAAGACCAGGTGGCATCCAGTGGTATAAAGATATTCCTTGAGTCAATTGTGCTTCAAAGAGTAGCTTTTCATTAGGTTGTACATGCAAAATAAAACCCAACAAAAACTTAATGAGGGGTATAAGTATCACTCCCCAAATCAAAGAAACTAATCAATTGTGGGAAGGGAATTATGAGTATCATGAACCTCTATCATTACCTCTTTACTCCATAAGCCATATTGAGCAGATTGTCCAACCTGCAAAACACACATTTAGCAAACTTCAGTTTTTAATTTTTCCCCTTGAAGTTAAAGAAAGCTGGGCTTGTTACTGCCATCTTCCAAGGGGATATTCCTACATTAATTATATGTGAAGTCTCAAAACACTGATGTTTTTACATTCCTGAGAGAATGGGTACACATGCCCCAGGATACTAGCTCTGCGATGGAGACAGTTTCTCCTGACAGGGTCAGTGCAGGGCAAATGTTAGTGATCATCTCAGGAAACCACTAGGACAGGGAATGTGGATGCTCTGGAAAAGTTAACATTTAGGTTCTCACCAAGCAAGTTCTAAGTACACCATGTGTACCTACATGTACTTTATATAACTTTTATTTTTCAAAACTCTATTGGTTCCTGAGGATACTGATGCACACAGAGATTAAGGGGCTTGCCAAGACACAGGACTAGTGAACAGTGGCACGGATATTCAAACTCTGCAGTTTACAGAATTCTATAAAGGTCTCTTTAATCACTCAACTCTGAAGAATCAAAGATATGTAATTACAGATAGAAAAACCTTATTGACAATCTCACCTAAGCCCTCCATTTCTTAAATGTGCTCATCTGAGGTCCAGAAAGGAATAGAAAGACCCACTGCTCCAATGAGCAACAAAGCCAGGAGTTCAAATCCTGAGTATGACGCTGTATTTAATTAAACTATGCTGCAACCCCACTTGGATTTAAGAAGCCAGGCAGAAAACAACCTGAGTTCCTCCAAAAATTTTTAAGTGAATGCAATTGGGGTGGGCAGTTACTCTTTTTTAAAACTTTCCACACTTTTCCTAAGGCAAAAATTAAATTAGTTTTATAGTATTTGATTCTCCTTGCTTTATCAGTTGTAAAGAGACCACTCTGATACCCCAAGTTTACACAGTGCTTATCAACTAATTTACATTAGTTTCAAAAAGGTAAGGATAACTTAATACACAGCCACAACTACCTACAACTGCCACAAGGCTGGACACTCTCCAAAGGTAACTGTGGGCTGAGGGGTGGAAGGTATGCACATATTTTTTCTCTTTAACACTTATAAAAAGTTAAGTTTGAGAAAAGTCTCGACCATATCATCTAATCTGTGGCATCGAGTGAAGCTGGAGTACGCAGTGAACCAAGTCCTTTTAAGTTTCATAAGAGGCCATATTATCTGGTCTTTCAGAATGGGGGAAAAAAGATACAGTCTCCTCACATCCCTGCCCCAAATCTCCACTAGGAACTTTGTGTTTTGTGAAAATGAACTGAGTGATATAATGCAAAGTGTTAGGGAAGGGAACATGTCACTCTGACAAAGGATCCTCACCCACGAGTGTCTGCCTTGCCTCCAAACCTGTCACCGTACCACAGAGCACAAGCCTGGGTCTCTGCACATGTACAATAAATACCTGGCAATTCAACAAAGGTCACAAACTAACCACCAACTACTTGATCTAGAAGGAAAACTACCAGGAAGACCAGCTGGGCCGGAGTGTCTGCACACACAAGGAAAAAAAGCACATGCATGAAAAGAACATGTACATGGGAAGGCTGTATTTTCTGCAGAGGCGATGAATATAGCCAAACATGCCTTGCTTCTAGACTCAAGAATAACGGTCACAAATACCAGCAATAAAGATGAACACAAATTGGTACCACCAATCATAAAGTAATCTGATAAAAAATATTTCATCCAATTGTTAGAATGATCAATACAGAATCCATCTGGCATGTGATGCCTATAAAATGGAACAGCCTAAGCACTAAAAGGCTCAGAATAGAGAGGCACCTTATTCACTGACTCGAAATACCTACATCCCCGAGGCCCATTAACTGCATCTAGGTAGGGACTGTCACACTTTGCTACCCCTCACTTAAGACACCAACTACATATACAGAGACAGAATTTTCTTATCAAGTTTTCAATATTTCTAAAACCAGGTAGAACCCAAACCTGTTCCAGAAGCAAATTATAGTCACGTATCACTTAACGATGGGGATATATTCTGAAAAACACGTCATTTTTTGCCATTTTTCATTGTGGGAACATGAGAAACCGACACCAACATAGATGGTATAGCCTGCTACACACCTGGGATATACGGGATAGTCTAGTGCCCTTAGGCTACAGACGTGTGCAGCATGGCACCTGCAACTACAACACAGGGTAAGGCATCTGCGTATCTAAACACACACGCCTCAACTCAGGAAAGGTTAATAATGGGCTGCACTACAATGTTACAATGGCTACTATACCGTTAGGCAATAGGAATTTTTTAGTTCCATTACAATTTTATGGGACCACCTTTATATATGTGGTCTGTCCTTGACCAAAATGTTGTCATACAATGCACGCCATGTACATTCACCCAGGGAAAAGGATCTCGTTCCTTACCCTCCACCTCGTTCCTTACTCCCCACCGTCCATCCCCTGGAACCTCTAGGCAGGAATTCTAGGCGGCTTTTATATCAGGATCTCTGAGGACCATCCTAATGGACCTCATACGTGTCCTACCTGTGAAATCCCATATAATACCATGATTTCCACAAATTTCTTCACTTGTTCCTCATTTTAGGGAAAATTTGAACCTTTGGAATTTTAGGCAAGTTAGCTACCCCATCCCATGTCCTCCTGCCTCAT